AGTGGAAACATAAAAACGTAATCAAAAGGTTTATAAGCAAGCGCGGATTTGGAGCAAAGGGACTTGGATGCTTTACATGTTTGTCACCCGCGTTTCCACCAAAGGGGCTGCTTTGCTGGGGTCACCAGAGCGCTCGTCTGCCGGCGTGGACTTTTCTCCGGGGCTGCGCTGGGAAGAGCACCGTCTGCGAAAGCCGGTTTCTGCAAGATGTTTTTCTGTGCTTCCAGTGCAGACCATCCACTGCACTGGATTCACTGCACTGTTTCAATTTTAGGATTGAAAACGCTAACTATATAATTAGGGTAATGTCTGCTCTTGCAATTGGCGAACAGTTCTTTTTAAGCTTGCATATGTGCGCTCTGATCGACCCTCATCTTTACACTTTGGTTTCAGAAGCGATTCTCCTATTCTCACTTCAAAATATGTTGGCCTCCGTGTCCTAGGTATTGTAAATAGTGCTGCAATGAACTCTGGGGTACGTGTGTCTTTTTATGGCAGAAATCAAACCAATATTGTAAAGCGATTATCCTTCAATTAAAAATAATTTAAAAAAAGAAAAAATAGTTTGGCCTCATCTCAACTAAAATACGGAGAAGGCAATGGCGCCCCACTCCAGTCCTCTTGCCTGGAAAATCCCCTGGATGGAGGAGCCTGGTGGGCTGCAGTCCATGGGGTCGCTAAGAGTTGGGCACGACTGAGCGACTTCACTTTCACTTTTCACTTTCATGCGTTGGAGAAGGAAATGGCAACCCACTCCAGTGTTCTTGCCTGGAGAATCCCAGGGACAGAGGAGCCTAGTGGGCTGCCGTCTATGGGGTCGCACAGAGTCGGACATGACTGAAGCGACTTAGCAGCAGCAACTAAAATAGAAGACTTTTAAAAAACAAAAAAAATCTGAGTGATGATAAATGCTGATGACTAAACCCCCGAGGACCACATAAAATCAAGTGGACTTGATTCATTGTCTGCTGCTATCACAGAATTATAACCACAGACTGCTGGCTTTAACAGCAGACATTTATTTCTCAAAATTCTGTAGGCTGGATGTCCGAGATCAAGGATTCTGAAAATTCAGCGTCTGGGGAGGACCCTCTTCTTGGCTCCTGGTAGATGCAGTCTTCTCTCTGTGACCTTACAAGATGGAAGAGGCAAGAGAGAGCGCTCTGGGGTCGCTTTTATAAAGACAGTAAACCCGCTCATGAGGGCTCCACCCTCACGACTAAATCATCCCTAAACCACTACCTAAAGTCCCCATCTCCTTGTACCATCACACTGGGGACTAGATTTTAACATTTGAATTAAACTTTTTTTGAGACTCACTTTGGCATCTTTGCATAGCACCGTGGCTTTAGTGTTTACTGACTTGGCTTTGTCAGGCCCTCCATGCGGAGCATGAGGCTCAGGCGCATGCGCTCGGTAGCTGTAGTTGCTCCGCGGCACGTGGGATCTTAGTCCCCTGACTAGGGTTCGAACCTGCCTCCCCTGCATTGCAAGGCAGTTTTTCAACCACAGGAAAATCCCAATATATATGAATTTGGGGAGGACGTAAATATTCAGTCCATAGCAACGCATGAAGAGATAAAATATAGAAAGCTAAGAAAGCAGTTTTCATAGATCTGGGTTCAAATCGGTGCGATAGCCACTTGTTGAAGCCCTACTGTGTGTCAGGTCCAGGAAATGTTCTTGGAGCAGCTTGAGTGAGTGACATGCTCTTGTCTGTAAGCTGGTAAGAGGGGAAGTGGATGAATTACAACTTTGTTTAAGTAATCGAAGGCAATTTGAATTTTGTTATGTTTACCTGTATTTTGGTTATAAAATGTTTGCTTATATTTCAAGTCTTTTAAATGGTAATGGATAGATGTTGACTTGACATTTCAATACTGGCAACAATCGCAAAAGTGGTCATTACATTAAAGCCAGGAAAGAGATGGCCATACAAGGAGGTAGGCTCTGATGCATCCCTGTGCATAGGCTAGAATAGTGTGTGTGTATCCTCAGTCAAGTCTGACTCTTTCTGGCCCCAGGGACTGCAGCCCATCAGGCTCCTCTGTCCATGGGATTCTCCAGGCAAGAACACTGGAGTGGGTTGCCATGCCCTTAATCCAGGGGATCTTCTCAACCCAGGAATTGAAACTGTGTCTCTTGCCTGTCCTACACTGGTGCATTCTTTACCACGAGAGTCACCTAGGAAGTCCAGACGAGACTAGACTGCTTGTTAATATTTGTGATTTTATTTCATTAGTAAAATTGAAAGTACGTTGTACCACGACTAGAACTTCTTCTATGAAAACACACGTATTTTAATTACCATCTTACATTCTTTCAAGGCCAGAAAAGTGAGTAGTCTTAAAAAAAGATATGTAATATGCCATGGGTTGCCTTTGAAGATTAAATGTATATTTACTTTGATTTTCCTTAAAAATATTTAATTTTTACTATTAAAAAATATCCCAGACCTTTCTGCTCTTCCAGAAGAAGAGAAAGAGAATTTTTCAGAATTTAGAGCTAGGAAAATACTTACACTACTTGCATCCACCTTAGTTGTGGATTTTTAACCATACAGCACTGTTGCAAATAAATCTTTTGAAAAGAGAGCAGCTACTGAAAGATTGCAGCTGGATGTACACCAGATGTTTTTCTAACAGGCAGTTTAACTGGATTATATAAATCAAATATAATGATGGTTTTTCAATCTCCATTTTCTGCAGGTCCATCTTACTTTATGATTCTATCATCTGATTTCTTTGGTGACACCCAGGCTTCCTGTCTTTTTTTTCTGTCTTCTTTTTGTTTTATCCTGGCTTTATTCTTTAATTTGAACTTGAATCACAGTCATCTTTGTCATCTGTTCTTTCCTTTTTCTCCTTTTAGTTCTGTCTCTTCTATATTCTTTCTAAAATATTTTATACGCAAATAGCTTGTATTAGAAGTAGGGTTTTTTATTGGAACCTCTCACCTAAAAGTTTTCTTTACTTTAGAATATGATCCAAAAGGCATCTAGTTGAATGGAGTCAGGGATGAAAAAAGCTGTGATTAACTATGTTAACTTAAATGCTGATATTTGAAAATCAGAGGTGATGAGGAGTACAATAAATGTATTTGATAAATAATTTGGCCTCTTTTGCTAGAATTAGAATAAAATTTGAGTTGGCTAATTAACAATTTCTCGCCAGTATATTTTGTATGGATGTGGCATTTAGGAATGTCAGAGACATAAATATTGTCATGCAAGAAAGAAATGCTGTGGGAAATGCTTTGGTTGCTGTATACAAACTTATTTAGAATTTTAATTCAGCTTCTGATATGCTTATTATAGCTGTTATCGTTGTTGTTTAGATGCTAAGTCGTGTCCAACTCTTTTGCAACCCCATGGCTTGTTGCCCCACCAGGCTCCTCTGTCCATGGGATTTCTCTGGCAAGAATATTGGAGTGGGTTGCCCATTTCCTTCTCCAGGGGATCTTCCCAACCCAGGGACCGAACCCATGTCCCCTGCATTGGCAGGCAGAGTCTCTACCACTGAGCCACAGGGGAAGCCCAGATAACACAATTTTCAGCATGCATGTAGATCTGAGTTTTTCTGGCAATACCTCAGTGGAGATTTAAGACTAGGATTGAGTTGTAAAGAATAGATGGACCACTTTCTGCTTGAAAATGTCATCTAGCAGAAGCTATTGTGTCGCTCATAGAAATAACCTTCCATTTCTTGGGAAGCTCTTTTTCTGCTTGGATGGCATGTTTGCCCTTTTCCCTGTCCTCTTTTTCTGTTTAGCAACTCCTCTACATTGAGACTCAGCCTCAGTGACCCTGTATTCCAGGAAGTATTCTGTGACTGTTTCACCTGCCCTTCCCCACTCCAGCCTCCTCCTCTCTGGGTCTGGATGAGACGCTTCTCTGCTCCGAACACCATGAGCTGCTGTTGCAAGTTCATCTGTCTTGGCCATGACAGGTGAGCTTCCTGAAGGCTCCGGAAGCCTGAAGCCTTCTGGAAGCTGATGATGCTCATCAGCTCTGGTTCTCAGCATAATGTCTGAGAAGTACCGGCATTTGACTAGCTCTCTTGCTCATATTTGCTGCTAACCTGGGCAGTTAATTGTATCGGTTGTTGTTCAGTCACTCAGTTATGTCCAACTCTTTGTGACCCCATGGACTGCAGCATGCCAGGCTTCCCTGTCCTCCACTATCTCCTGGAGCTTACTCAAACTCATGTCCATTGAGTTGGTGATGCCATCCAACCATCTCATCCTCTGTCGTCCCCTTCTCCTCCTGCCTTCAATCTTTCCCAGCTTCAGGGTCTTTTCCAATGAGTCAGTTCTTCACATCAGGTGGCCAAAGGATTGGAGTTTCAGCTTCAGCATCAGTCCTTCCAATGAGCGTTCAAGGTTGATTTCCTGTAGGGATGGTTTATGTAATATCCCAATTTGTTTGTAGTTGTGGTTTGCTCTTCTCTTCTTTTTAAATGTAATTATCAAAAGTTGAGAAAAGGACCTAATTTGCTTTGTTTTAAGCATAGATGGCACAATTTACATGGATAGATACCAAGAATTCATATCTAATAAATTCCACTGATCTTCATCCCTGTATTTACCCAGAAAGATCGTGTGATTAGCATGACTTTGTCTACGCACCTTCTCTTTTCCGGAGGTGAGGAGAATGCTGAAATGTTCTTGTGTCCAGGTCAAGAGCTGCACATGGTAATTGTGGAACTGGCTTGAGATGCTGCTGTGGTTTGGAAGGGGACCCCACAACTGTGTTCAGAGGGTGGATGCTGGCTCCCAAAGTGGGGTTTGCATGTCTGTGAAGCACATTTCAGCAAAGATTCTGATCAACCATCCTCTTAGTGAGGACAGGAAAGAGGCAAATGATCGGGTGTTTTCCTTAACATGAGCCATGCAGAGAGACTCAAACTGGATAACAGAACAGCCTGGGATGCTTTGTGCCTTTACAGCAGAGAGGAGGGAGAGAAAGACTCAGAAACCAGGGGTCATCATAATAAAGGCTGCTAGAGCATTAGAGATTGGGCCAGGAGGAAGTGTTTCTGATCCACGATGGCTGGGGGATGCTGAGGCATCGTGGGGGGCAGCAGCTTGGCGCCGGTAGCCAGAACTTGGGCAGCAGGTGTGAGCCCCGAGAGACGGCCCTGCAGACCTGAGTGGCCCCCAGCCCTGACCGCCTCAGGAGTCAGCTGCGGCCGCATGGTGGTCCCCGGTTCTGGCCTGAGGGTGATCGGATGCCCGCCCTGGGTGTGTGGTGCACCTTCCCTGTGGCCTTGGAAGGAGGCGGAGGGGGTCAGACCCTTGCTTCTTGGGGGCCCCTGAGGACGCTGGGCTGAAGTATAAATACACGAGGTTCATGTCAAGGCCCTGGTGAATTTCTGAAGACTGCTGTAAGCTGGGACAAGGCCCCGCATACTTTATCTGTCAAGGGATGTGTATTAGTTTGCTAGGGCTACGGCAATAACAGCCCACAGGGTGGGTGGCTTCCACACAGAGCTTATCTCACCATTCTGGAGGCTGGGAGTTCAAGGCCAAGGTCCTGGTGAGGCCTCTCTCCTGGCTTGCAGAGGCCGCCTCCTCGCGGGCTCCTGATGGTCCTTCTGCTGTGCACGTCTGCGTCACTGGGGCATCTCTGTGCGTCCAGATCTCTTCCTAGGAGGACACCCATCAGACTGCATCAGGCTAATTGCACAGCCTGATTTTAACTTAAGAATCCCTTCTTCCAAGGCTCTGTCTCCAAATGCAGTCACATTTGGAGGGACTGGGGATAAGGTCTTCAGCACAGTCCCTTGGATAGCAAGGAGATCCAACCAGACAATCCTAAGGGAGATCAACCCTGAATGCTCATTGGAAGGACTGATGCTGAAGCTGAAACTCCAATCCTTTGGCCACCTGATGCAAAGAACTGACTCACTGGAAAAGAAGACCCTGATGCTGGGAAAGACTGAAGGCAGGAGAAGGGAACGACTGAGGATGAGATGGTTGAACAGCATCACTGACTTGATGGACATGAGTTTGAGCAAACTCCGGGAGATAATGGAGGACAGGGAGGCCTGGCGTGCTGCAGTCCATGGGGTCTCAAAGAGTCAGACACAACTGAGTGACTCACACACATCTCCCCTATGTTAATACAACCCTCTCCCTCAGAGCAGACAGAGGACGGGAAGATACCCGGTGAAAGTCAGAAAAGGTCAGAACAAGCTGTCCGGAGAGCCCATCCACTGCTCGCTGTCCCCCAGGACCGGGGGAAGTGGCGCCTCGGCTCTGGTCCAGCGCTGCCGGACAGGGCGTCGGAGAGCATCATGGCAGAGCCAGGAGCTTTGAGGCCAGAATCCCCATCAGGGCAGGGAGGACAGGCGTCGCTTTGCTGAACTCCCATGACGCCAAGTGAGACTGCAAAATATATTGAGCTCTCTGAGGTTGGTGGAAGCAAGCGGATTTATTTTCAGAGATATTGTTCGTCGCTGCGGGATCTCCATGCCTTGGTCAGGAAGGGAGCGGTGGCCACCACAGCCCGCGGGCACCGCTGAAATCCACGCCTCTAAGCATCACAGGCTTCCCCGAGAGTAGCCAGCTGCACTCGCCCGCAGAGGCTCGGTACATCTGGACTAGTCATAGCAGACCCTGCAGAACCCACCGCTGCCTGCGCTCTCGGACGGCGATCGCGGCGGCATCAGCTTCCTTTCCGAGTCCATCCTCGGTTCCTCCAGCATCCGCCAGTGTTCCGGCTGCTCTGTCCACCCAGATGAGGCGAGCTGGGATTATCTTCGGGGACTGGGGTGGAGAAGGTATATTCTTTTCTTCTTCTTCTTCTCAGGATTGGTGCTGCAAAGGCCTATGGCAGCCCAGGGCCCATTTCTGTCTTGATCTACCAGCCTTCTCCTGCCTCCTGGAGACCTTGCACCACTAGAGTTGCTTTATAGGCATCATCTTAGTTCATCCTCACAAGGGCCACGCGGGCTCAGTCTCTCATTTGTGTCTGCCTCTTTGCAACCCCATGGCCTGTAGCCCACCAGGCTCCTGGTCCTTGGGATTTCCCAGGCAAGAGTACTGGAGTGGGTTGCGATTCCCTTCTCCAGGGGATCTTCCTGACCCAGGGATGGATCCTGGGTCTCCTGCACTGCAGGCAGATTCTTTACTGTCTGAGCCACTGGAGAATCAGGTATATGTTTACATATGCCCTCTTTTTATAAATTTCCTTCCTGTTTATGTCACACAGAACATTGAGGAGAGTTCCCTCTGCTGTACAGAGGTTCTCATTACTTCTCTCTTTTATACACAGTACCGAGACTGTATGTATGTCAACCCTAACCTTAGATGGAGTCTCTGTTGATTCCTCCTGTCACCTCCATCATCATAGAATAGCAGAGCGTGTCAAGCTGGACCCTGGATTTCCTGTTCCTTGATAACCTTCCATCCCTGGGTTACATCACGGCATCAGGAATTCTCTGGGCTCTTACATCCCCCAGTCTGACTGCAGCACAGACTTTTTCCCTGGGCTATAAATCTTTGCATCCAGCTGATATCTCGACTTCAGTGTGGAACAGAACTCTTGCTCCCCATCCTTCCTATGCTGCTGCAAGTGGTTGGAAGAACATCTTTTTAGTCTCCCTTAGAGTTAAAAATATGGGCTTCTTTGGTGGCTTAGATGGTAAGGAATCTGCCTGCCAGTGCAGAGGACATGGGTTCAATCTCTGGGTTGGAAAGATCCCCTGGAGAAGGAAATGGCAAACCACTCCAGTATTCCTGCCTGCAGCATCCCATGGACAGGAGAGTCTGGTGGGCTGTAGTCCATGGGGTCACAAAGAGTTGGACATTACTGAGCGACTAAGCACAGACACAAAGTTAAAAATATAAGTTATCTGTGCAGCTTAAATCTTCATGAAGCGTATGTATGTAAAAAGAATTAATTCTTCAATGTGCATTTGTGACTCTTCCGTGGCAGCTCAAGGCTCTTCTCCATCTTTCTGCCACACTCACTCACCTCCTTTTGTCCTGCTTGTTTTTGCCAAGCACATGTGGCCGTGGTGCTCTGGAGTTTAGGAGGCAGCTAGGGATGGGAGGAAGGCTCAGCCCCTGGGCCCCCTGAATGCTTCCACTTCAGGATGTCAAGATCTCATCCGGTGAGATCTCCCCTTTGCTTCTTTCTGGAGCGGGGGTGGTCGTGGATGGTACATCTGATGTAGGGCACACCCACTGCCTGCTGCTCTGACCCCACATATTGCATGAATATCATCTACAATCTGGTTTCTGAATTTAGTGGAACTATATGGAGAAGAAAAAAAATAAAACAAGGGCAATGATAATTCCTGGTTGGCTATCCTGAATGACGTTATGTAAGTTCTATGACTTTAGATTTCAGAATCACAGAATGTCTATTTGATTCATGTATTTGACCGACTTTCTAAGTGCTTACTAGATACCAGGTATAAGACATGCTTGATTTTATCGAGAGAGAACTAGGTATCCACATTCAGCTATCAAGGAAATCTAAGATATAGCCAAAAAATAGTTTGATGTTCATTTTTCCCCTCTTTTTTTATGGTTGCACTATGTGGTATGTGGGATCTGAGTCCCCTGATCAGGGATCCAACCCCTGCCTCCTGCAGTGCAAACAGGGAATCCTAACCACTAGACCTCCAGGGAAGTCCTGATTTTCTTTTTTTTTTTTGAGAACACATATTCATAGAAAATACAACTGTGGTTTCCTATTGTGGAAATAGTCATCGGAAAACTAGAAATGATGAATCAACAAGTAGGGTGGGGAGTCCGTCTGTGTGTGTGGTCAGTTCTTCAGTCATGGCTGACTCTGCAGACTCATGGACTGTAGCCCACCAGGCTCCTCTGTCCGTGAAATTTTCCAGGCAAGAATATTGGAGCAGGTTGCCATTTGCTTCTCCATGGGATCTTCCTGATCCAGGGATAGAACCCATGTCTCTTGGGTCTCCCACATTGGCAGGTAGATTCTTTACTTCTACGGTCACCTAGGAAGCCCCAGGGAGTCTATGGGAAAGGGCAACTCAAATTTATCCAGGTCTTTCTTAATGTTTAATGACTTAGGAAACATCCAAACCTAGGGGATACTTTCTATTAGTTCACTAATTTGTATCATTTAGTCCTTCTTATTTGTTTCCTAGGTTTTTATAAATTTTCCTGTTATTTTGCTATCCAGTGATTTAAAAAACATTTTTTTTTCTCTAAATGTTTAGCACAGGGAGCTTGGCCCGGTGCCCTGTGATGACCTAAGGGCTGAGATGGAGGGTGGGCGGGATGGAAGTCCGAGAAGAAGGGGATATATGTGTGTGTAGCTGATTCACGTCCTTGTACAGCATCAAGGAGCACAACACTTTAAAGCAACTATACCCCAATTAAAAAAAATACTAAAGGAAGAGAGGTACAAGAGTAGGTCAGGAGACCTGAGTGAGAAGAAATTGACCTACTGTTACTGGCTTTGAGGGCTTCCCTGATGCCTCAGAAGGTAAAGAATCTGCCTGCAATGCAGGAGACCCAGGTTTGATCCCCAGGTGGGGAAGATCCCCTGGAGAAGGGAATGGCTGCCCTCTCCAGTTTTCTTGCCTGGAGATCCCATGGATGGAGGAGCCTGGGGGGGCTACAGTCCACGGGGTCGCAAAGAGTTGGACACGACTGAGCAATTAACACCTTCACTTACAGGCTTGAAGATGAAGGAAGGTGGCCATGAGCAAGTTACATAGTTGGTCTCTAGAAGCTGGGAGGTGCCCTTAGCTGACACTTAGCCAGAACACAGGGACCTCAGTACTATAGCTGAAAAATAATTTCTTCTCTTGAACCTCCAAAAAGAGGTATAACCCTGCTGAAACCTCGACTTTAGCCCAGTGAAACCTGTGTTAGATTTTTGACCCAGAGACTTGTGAAGATAATGCATCTATGTTATTTAACCACTAGACTGTGGTCATTTGTTAAAGCAGCAGTAGAAAGCTCACACACCTTTAATACTAAAAGAAACAGTAAAACTAATAGAAACTAGAGCTTATTGATGATTCGTGTAGAAAGCTGTGATGCTTTCTAAGGAAACGTTTTAGCACAGCAGAAATTTGGTTTCTGTTTTGGCTTGTTTCATTGAACCCAGTGTTTTGTGTAATGGGTATTTAATAAATACTCATCAAAGGGAAAAATTTTCATATTAAAAAGGAGGTATTTTTTCCTGTTTGTGACTTATTATCTATGTTAGCATTTCTGTGTGAGAAAAATAGTCCCGTATCAATGAATAGGTGACAAATTGGTTCCTTCTTGAATCATTAGATGAGGAAAAAACTCAGAAAGGACTGAGTTGCATTAATTAAATGTGAATAATGTCTGTGAAAATGAATCACCGAGAAATCATTGTTAGAAATCTCTTAGGAACCTGCTCTTCAGAAAATATGTGTGAGAAAAGTCATCCCCCAATGAAGAGGAGAGTGCCTCTTTATGAAGTTTATTTGTGTGGGTGTTTTGAAAATCTAAATTATTAATGACTTGTTAAATAGTGAAGCATAAAATATATGTGAGGTTATCATTTAAATCTATAAATTTAAACTCAGTGTAAATGCTCTAAAAATATTATAGATGCATTAAAACTACCAAGCGTGGTAGAATTCCCTGTGCTATACAGTAGGTCCTTATCTCTTTTATATATAGTAGCATGTATATGTCGTTACCATTCTCCCAATTTATCCCCCCTCCTTCTTAGCTCCTAGTAACCATAGTTTGTTTTCTACATCTATAACTGTGCTTCTGTTTTGTAGGTAAATTCATTTGTATCCCTTTTTTACTTCCTAATTTTTCTTTTGTACCCCTTTTTTTAGATTCCACATATAAGGGATGTCATAAGATATTTCTCATTCTCTGTTTGACTTTGTTGTTGTTTAGTTATCAAGACGTGTCCGAGTCTTTGCGACCCCATGAACTGCAGCAAGCCAGGCTTCCCTGTTCTTCACTGTCTCCTGGATTTTCCTCAGACTCTTGTCCATTGAGTTGATGATGCCATCCACCCATCTCATCCCCTGTCACCTCCTTCTCCTTCTGCCTTCAGTCTTTCCCAGCATCAGGGTCTTTTCCAGTGAGTCAGTTCTTCACATCAGGTGGCCAAAGTATTGGAGCTTCAGCTTCAGCTTCAGTCCTTCCAATGAATATTCAGGGTTGATTTCCTCTAAAATTGACTGGTTTGATCTCCTTGCAGTCCAAGGGACTCTCAAGAGTGTTCTGCAGCCTCACAGTTCGAAAGCATAAACTCTTGGGTGCTCAGCCTTCTTTATGGTCCAGCTCTCACATCTGTACATGACTACTAGAAAAACCATAGCTTTGACTATACAGACCTTTGTGGGCAAAGTGATGTCTCTGCTTTTTAATATGCTGTCTAGGTTTGTCATAGCTTTTCTTCCAAGGAGGAAGTGTCTTCTGTTTTCATGGCTGCAGTCACCTCTGTAGTGATTTTGGAGCCCAAAAAATAAAATCTGTCCCTGTTCCCACTTTTCCCCATCTATTTGCCATGAAGTGATGGGGCTTCACTCAGTATGACACTCTCTAGGGCATCCATGTTGGTGCAATGGCATTATTTCATTCTTTGTTATGGCTGAGTAATTAATATTCCGTTGCATGTGTGTATCACATCTTCTTTATTCTTCTGTTGATGGATGTTTAGGTTGCTTCCATGTCATGGCCTATGTGGGAAAAGAAT